CTCGTCTCTCTTTCTTTCTTTTTCTCTTTCTCATTCTCTCTCTCTCTCTCTCTCTCTCTCTCTCTCTCTCTCTCTCTCTCTCTCTTTGTTTCCCCATATTTTTCTATCTCTCTGTGTTTTCCTCTGTCTGTCTCTCTGTCATTATGTCTGATCCCCTCTTCATCTCTTTCTCTCTTGATTTAGTTCTCTCTCTTTCTCTCTCTCTCCCCCTCCCCTCTCTCTCTCTCTCCCTAAACCTGAAAAGCATGATGTCACCATCCCAAAAGTAATGTCTTGAACCACCCACAAAAACCGTGTGATCAAAGATACATTTACTGAAAAAGGAACTGCGTTTGACGATGCTTTAAACAAGCACTATGAGCGCTATTCTGTCTGTCTTTTCACAGAGGAGCGCCCGCTATCACCCAGTAGAAAACATCCCCTAGTAGGTAGCACAATAATGGCGGAGGCTATATACCCCGCGCAGACACGGAGAAATAGAAAGAAAAAATGAAATGGATTGAAAAAAAGAAAAGATCTTTGAGCTAGGGCTTTCTGTAGCCAGTTGATCTTCCAATAAATTGTTTATCGATTATTATCTTTCATGGGCCGTCTTCAATTAAAGCCTGCCAGCCCCTCATGAGAAGCGGAATGTTGCTGTCCGCTACTTCTGAGCGCACCCTTAAAAGCTTCCTGTTCCGAATGCTTGAGAAGCATCCGTCTTGGGGGATGTTTCATTTAAACGATATCATTTCCAAACGCCCGTTTGTCGCTGGCCTGTGATGAGTGGGCGAGGTTTGGTTGTCTGACATTTCGCAGAATCTGTAGAACGCCGCCAAAGGCCATTCTTGACCCTGGATTGACGGCCCTTTTACGGTTACGCAAGATCCGTTTCTAGAAGGTCGGATATTTTGTAAACCCGGAAGCCACCATGTAGCCTACAGCTTTCTAGAATTGTGTTTACAGCCGTACCAAGCTCGATGCTATTGCCGGCTTATGAGGGCTTTTAGTTTTAAAATGCTGACGGGAGAATTGAGGAGACATTAGTGGGCGTCAAAAGTGCCCATGGAGCTTTACGGCTCGTTCAAGACAGCAGTAGGAGACAAAGTATACAGACCACCAGAATGAAATGTGTTCCGTTTTGAAATGGTGTAATGTGTTCCAAACACCATCAGCATCACCTCGAAAATCACCCTCACAACTATATTTCCCAACGCCATTGCTGTTATCTATAAAACCACCTTCACTATCTTTCCAAACACCTTCGTTATCACCTTCTATCCTACCACCACTGTCTTTCCAAACACTATAATATTATTATAGTAATAATAATAATAGTTGTATGCATACAGCGCATATCCCCGCTCTACTGCATGTTCTATGCTCTATTCAACCAGCACACCCTAGGACACTCAGAAACAGTGGTGGCCTAGTGGTTAGGCTCTCGGACTCGCAACTGTAAGGTCGTGGGTTCGAATTCCGTCAAGGGCCCAACGTTGTGTCCTTGGGAAAGGCACTTTACACGAAGTTTCCTCACTTTACCCAGGTGGGAATGGGTACCCGGCTATAGACAGCGAAAGATTTTGTCAGTTTGTAAGTGTTTGAGCGCTTAATCAGCTGCTTGCACTGTATGCTTCCCGGGAAGCTGAGAATGTTTCGGAGTGTTCTATGGTAGTGCAGGGGTAATAATGTAGTGTAAAGCGCATAGAGCCTGCTGATGAGCGGGGATGTGCGCTATACAAATGCTATCTATTATTATTATTATTAACTATCTCGGCTTCCCGGGATGCACGCAGTACAATTTGTGGATTGCACGTGCTAAAAAACTCACACACTGACAAGATCTATCACCTCCAAAACCATCATCACTTCCTTTTCAAAACCGCCATCACTACTGCTCCAAAACCTCCACCACCACCACTATCATACCATCAACTCTAACCCCACCTCCTCCTCCTCCTTTCCTCACATTTCCAAAACCACTACATCCAAAACCACCACCACTACTACCACCACCACCACCACCACCACCCCCACCACCACTATTATACCGTCAACTCTAACCTAACCCTTTCCTCCCCCTCTCCTTCCCCTCCCCCTCCCTCCTCACAGCGGATATGGTGGCCACCTTCAACACCTCGGCCATCTTGGTGGGCTCTCTCCTGGGTCTGCTCATCTGTGTGCTGGTGGCGGCGGTAGTCTACACGCTCTGCCGCCGGAGGAAGATGTTCGGGGACGAGGAGAAGGTCTTGCCCAAAGTCTATCAGGTGAGTAGAATATGGTTATATGATGGGTGGGTGTCTATCAGGTGAGTAGAATATGGTTATATGATGTGTGGGTGTCTATCAGGTCAGTAGAATATGGTTATATGATGGGTGGGTGTCTATCAGGTCAGTAGAATATGGTTATATGATGGGTGGGTGTCTATCAGGTCAGTGGATGGTTATATGATGGGTGGGTGTGTATCAGGTCAGTGGATGGTTATATGATGGGTGGGTGTGTATCAGGTCAGTGGATGGTTATATGATGTGTGGGTGTCTATCAGGTCAGTACATGTAGATGGTTATTATAATATTATTGGGAATATGTTAGTTCTTTTCCTTTCAAGTAAGGATATAACAAAGGAAAAGTGTTTTAGAGAAACCTCAAAGCAAGGAAATCACGTAAAAAGAAATGTGTTTTAGACTAGCCTCAATACAAGGAAATTACGTAAAAGTATGTGATGCATCATGAGGAAATAAAGCACTGGTCAGAATAATGAACTCGAAGATACGGCATTTTCCCGTCGGTTTGGACATTTTTATGAACTTTTGTTTCTTTGCTGAATACCTTTTACGTCCATTTGAAAACACATTTCTGTATAGATTTTTACTTTTTTAAAAACATTGATTCAAGGCACAAAAATGTAAATTTTCCGTTTCCAAGAACTCTCAAGCTGTGAAAGTCACCAAACTTTGGTGGCCATGTTCTCGCTAATTGTTACACTGACACCAGGCGACCCCCACCACCGTCAATCGCAACTGTCTGGACGTCTATTCAAGATAGTTGGTTATCTTTTTCAAAGAAAGATTAGTATACAACATGAACAAGCTATAGATGATACAAATAACTCCATATGCCCACAAATTGACGAGATTTCACTATGTCGTTACACATATTATTATGAGGTTTGGAGGAAAGATGCTTCTTACAACATGGGTACACTGATTGACTGTTATTACTATGGAAATTACAAATAATTACCTTAGTACTTAAACACTCATTGCAATACCTAAAAATACATCATAGTAGTAGGTTATGTAATCACAAAATACATTACGAAGACATATAAATAAAAAAGAAAGACATATTAGAATATGCAAACACACATTACAATAAAGAAACACAAAATGGGTTATGTAATACATATATTACAATATTGTAAACACAATTACGATGTGCAAACGCATAATAATTATTACAAAGTGCAAACACACATAATACTGTTTTTTCAACAACCACTTTGGGATTTTCTCAAACACTGGGGCGGGGATCTTACAGATTTAAATAGCTCTTTCAGAGGAGGGGTGTTTCTTTTTTCCCATAAATACATTTTTGTTTTAATATAACCCCGTTTCATTGTCTACTTGTCCGTCCGACATTTTGTCAGTCTGTTCAGGGAGGGTAGAGCTACTCGATAATTTTCCCGCCACAAACAGGTACCATGGTGATTCTGTAGAGAGCGTCATAATAATGGACATTCTGATTTACAGAGGTCGCTTCCTTAGCAATAACGTTAACCGACTGGAAAATGTTTGACGCCTGTGTGAGCTGGACAGAAGGATAGGGAGAAAGAGAGGGAGAGAGAGGATGTTGTATGGGTTGGTAAACAGACATAGACAATAAGAAAGAGAGAGTGA